ACTACACTGAAAACAAACTGTTTTAATCTGCTGCCTTATTTAAACCCCCCATGCCTAACTACTTCCATAAGTGTACAACTGGGCCACAATGTGTAATAATAGGTAAGAGCTCAGATTTTGATATCAGCAAAATCCGATTTTAAATCCTGACTCCAAATTATTAGTGTCACATTGAGTAAAGTGCGTTAGCTCACTGTGCCTCAGTTTCCTTTTTTCCTTTTTTTTTTTTTTTTTACAAAGACGGTAGTAAAACCCACTGCGTGGGATTTTTATACGTCTTCCCCTGAGTTGTCTATGGTGATTACAGTGGAATGTCCTATCATAATGCCTAAAAAGCTTTGGACTGTTGTTTTACCTTGTATTTTTACTTTAAATTGAATAGATATATTCTTTAGTAAAGACTATATGTATTTTTTCATATACATTAGCTGAAATTTACTTGAAAATACTAAGTCCATAATTTTTATATGACCCATTTTTTTGATGATTGATTTTTTTTTTTTAAGATTTTATTTATTTAACAGAGAGAGACAGCAAGAGAGGGAGCACAAGCAGGGGGAGTGGGAGAGGGAGAAGCAGGCTTCCCGCTGAGCAGGAAGCCCGATGTGGGGCTCGATCCCAGGACCCTGGGATCATGACCTGAGCCGAAGGCAGATGCTTAACGACTGAGCCACCCAGGCGCCCCTGATGATTGATATTATAAATAACAAACTGTCTCCTTTTAGATTGATTTTGATGGGGTAAGGATACTGCATAATATATGGCATTCAACTAATCTGTTGTTAATTTAGTAGTATGAAAAGATTTATAGATGATGAATTTCCATACTCTTGAAAGTAATTTTATAGCTCTTGCACTGCTTCTGGGTTTATATTGTTGCCTTGTTTTAAAGTAGGACTTTCCCCAGACAGTGTATGTTAATATTTGGAAAATTCCCTATCAGTAGGCTAACACCATCTTGACAGCCCTGTGTTCTGCTTCTACCTTGCTAATTGTTTCCTTGGGATTATTTGGATTGTGTAGAAAGCTTTTTGCAAATCCTCTTATTACTGAAGTCATTGTTGCCAGCAGGAATAAGATTAAAGGTGCTTAAGTCTGTAGAGTTGTTTCTAATTTGTACGTGTCATTTCAGTGCCATTTTAACAGAACTCTGTCTCCTGTCTTCTCCCTTCTCCCCCGGTACTATCTCAAGTTAGGTCCGAGAAGCCAGGCCATTGGAAGAAATCTCATTTTATCCTCCTAATTATTATGCTGGCACTCAGGAGATAATTTTTCCCTTCATGCACTGCCAATTAATATGCAAATGGGCTGATAAATATTTATGCAATGATTTAAATTATGCAGGGCGTGCTTTCAGTGTGTTCTGTAAATGAATTGTTCGTGGACTTCAAAGTGCTGGCTGCTGTGCTAACGAGGAGAGATTTGCATAAGGCCCTAATCACACGCATACTGATTAAGCTTCATTATGGAAACTGCCAGCTGCAATCTTTGTTTCTATTTTATTACAAAAAGGGGAACTTTTCATGCTTCAGTTGCCTTGACAATGTCAGTCCTGGCTTGGTAGGAGAGACTAAAACTCCTCTGAGCAACTGAAGTTTCCTTATTCCGTTGAAGATTGCTATGGTGTAACTGAAGTTGTATTTTGCTTCTCCCCCTAATCCACTTTCCACCTCCCACCTTGTTCTCTTAAGAACATAGCATAGATTTGTTAGAACTAGTAGTATCTTCTTTTCCCCACCCCAAACTGCTACCTGTCTCTTCCTTGCTCTGGATTGTCTGAACCTCTAGAAGATTTCACAGCAATGCTGGACTGCAGTGACTATGTTCTAGGTGGGTACCAGCGCAGTTCTTTCTTAGAAGCTTTAATATGGAAATGGCGTGTGTGGGGTTGACTATGCATAAATGCTTAATCGCATATGCAACCAACTCGGGGAGGAAGGAGGGGGGAGAGGTGGATTGAGCAGAGAAGGAGGAAAGCATTTGCAAGGCACGAGCATACTTGAATTTGCAGTAGGTCCCTCCCTACCACTAGCTCTTCTGGTTCCGAGGACATTTTCAGTAAATAGTGTGCATTTGGAATTCAACTTAAACAGAGTACATTTTTGCTTTTTGGAAATACCTATTGGGCGCATTTCGTGTAGTTCTAAAAACACTCTAAATCTGAAACAAGGTATAAAGTGTACCTAAATAATGTTGTACATATTAATCAAGATGTTTTGCGTACCTAATGTGAATGTCTTATATAAAAACCAAAAGTGCATAGTGAAAAATAAGGTTGGAGCCATAGTGCAGAATGGCTCCCATAAATACTAATGCCGAGGGTAATTGCAGTGGTTACTGATCAGTTTCCAGATTGGAGAAACTATCAACTTTTCCCAAATTTTGGCCGATATTAGCCTTTTTTATTTAAAAAAAAATCAACTTCTCTTCTTCAGAAAACAATTTTAAGTGCTGGAAAGCCTATTTTTAGAGTTCTCTCTATAGAACAACAAACCTTTTAGGAGAGAGGGGTGTGAGGCTTGATTATATAAACTGTCTTTGGTAACTGAGATTTAAAATAGACTGAGACACACTGTGACTCATGGTGGCTCTATTTTGTGTTGAGATTTGTCTGTTTGTATGCAAAATTCTTGAAACCTCTTTAGGTTACTCTGGTCACCTGGAGAGTCAGATGATATAAACTCCAGGACTTTGATACTTTAGGTTGAAAACCTTTGCAAGTGATTTTTTTTTCCTATATGTCATTTTTCTTGCTTGAAAATTTGAGGCTTGACCGCTCCCCTCTCCTTCACAGTTGCTAAGGATAAAATTAAATGATAGTTCTGAAATTGTTCACATTGTTAGAAGGAATGGCCTAAACTCAAGGCAGTTAGTAATATCTGTATGGCACTATAAAAACCACAATTAAAACAACAAACTGGTGTCAAGAATTCAATCCAAGAACAGTTTGTAGACTGTGTATTAGACTCACATACAGTAAGTTCAGTGTGCCCAGAGAGGAGAAGAACTTCAGATATCAAAAGAGAACTTACTTGTATTTACTCTTTTACATCTACTATGTTGGGAACTCAGGAAAGAAAAATACCTTTTTGAAGTATTTTTAGCATTATATTTTAGAATTAGAAATTGATCTCTGTTATTTGTAATTAACAGTAACTCATTTGAATGGTCTTCACGTTGTTGTACAGTCAGAATTTTGTTTTATTTACATGTGTATGTATGTGTGAAGTAATTTTGTTAAATGTCTCCAAAGCTCGACAATTTAATAGAAAATGCTTAGAAGATTCACACAATATCTGTGACATAATTTTTAATTTAGATGTGTGGAAACTAGGATATGAGTTGCACAAGCACAGGCTCATGACTTGTTAAGAATTATTCCTATTTCCTTTTATAAAAGATATGTTACCCTTTTTATGAATATTAAGAAGTGGTTCATATTTTTCCCACTTTCTTTTAACATTCTAAAGGAAGCATTGAGCAGAATGTATGTTTAATGGTATATTAACATTTGTTGTGATCTTTGTGGACTTTCGTAAGATTTTGGTTAAGTCATTCAGAAAGCTGATTTTCTCTAAGTTGTACACCTGTTCCTTTCAAACCTTAGTATGCTTTCAGTGACATTTTGATTTTTCTGTACAGTAGACGCAAGGAAGTTGTAGAACTACTCTCATTTATGACCACAGAAAAACAAATTTGAATCCTTCGAACATCTGAAGAACAAACCAAAGATATGATAAAACTGCTTAAGATCATAAGACAAGCATCTGTTTCAAAACCTGTGTTAAAAAAGCTATTACACAGCTTCCAGGTTAGAAATGAAATTTATGGGAGGAGGACTCTTGATTCTCTCTCATCACTTGTGCATTTGGATAAAGCAACTATGGACACCACAGTTGGGACTGATGATTGTTTTGGCTTCCTAGTTAAACGTTGAAGCACATGACAAAATGTACTCTTCGGTGAAAAATCAAATATAATATAGTTTACTTATTCTCAACTAATAATTATAGTTAAATGGTTCTTAATCCAGTGGGGGAAAAGGGGAAACTTGCTTGATAGTAAACTTGATTACAAATATGCTAAGTTTGGGGTTACAGTAGAAGTAGAATGAAGTATGTATTAAATGTAAATTTAGGTTTTACTCTATTATAAAGGTGGAAGAAAAACCAGACTTGTTCTTGTCTCTTGTATATCTTCTGGGATACCTGATACTGCTTGATGAAAACTTTTTACTATGAAAACTTTCATTAAAGAGATAACCCTTAAGGAGATAAACCCACGTCCGGAGGTTCTTAGTGGGGTATCAGATAGGTAGTATTTTAGGTGGGTGTGGTTCTGGTTCAATTTGGAAATGATTAGACATATCTGTTATGCCTTGTGGTGCAACTTGTGTACTGGTTTATGATTGAGGTATGAATTTGACATATTCTCACTTTGACACATAGTTTGGGCAGGGAGTAAATAAGGAGATTTTTTCTTAGACATGCTTTCTTTTTATTCTGTTAGGTTGAGTTACTGTCCAGTCTTTTAGGAAGATTACCAGTGAACTGTTTTGGTTAGAACTAACCCAGTACCTTTGCTTATGAAAAAAAGAAACTTTATTTGAGAGTAACATGTTTTACTTTGTAAGGTGCTTGGCCCCAGCTTTGTTTCTTTAAAGTGTTTTATGCTTCATACTATATTTACTCCATTTACATGTTAGGCTCTATTATAATTTTTTTCAGGTTAGAGTTCAGTTATCTTTGTGAGAAGAACGTTAAAATTCTTTGGAAAGACAGTTTATGTGTGGATCACCTCAGGGTTAAGGGAATCCCGAATTTCTTTCAGATAAACTTTTTATTACAATTTCCAATGTTTTAGGGCTGACACTATCTGTCTTTGAACTGTAGAGCTATAACATTGGTCAGTATTCTTAAGCCTTGCCTTTTCCACAATTTTGCCTCCCTAACCACATCCCCAATTTTTAAAAAACCTCATTCACCTCTCATTCATTGCAGACTCAAGAATGAACAATCCGTCAGAAACCAGTAAACCATCTATGGAGAGTGCGGATGGCAACACAGGTAAGAGATGATTCCCAGGTCCAGCTTTTTAACTAGCTCTAATCGGGCTAACGGAAGGAACTTTCCATTCAGCTGTGACTTCTGTTTGGCAAATAAAGACCAATTGGAGTGTTGAGTTGTCAAATATAATTTAGTGCTTGCAGGAACTGGTATTGTATTTGTTTAAGATGATTTAGTTTCTTCTGCAGACTACTTCCATCTTTTTGTTGCTGTTTATCAGAGAAACTCTAAAGTAGTTGAGAGAATAGTCTTTTAGGGTCAGGTAGTTCTGGGTGTGAATTAGGAATTTGTTACTAGCTTTGGACGTTAGGCAGTTTCCCCAATCTTTTGAGACTTTATTCACCTATAAAATGGGGAAAATATATTTCATAGATCATTGTATTAAAGGAAATGGATTAAGCACAGTACCCCGCTACACAGTTAACCATTCAGTAAAACGTTGCCCTTGTTACAGGTGTTAACCAAAATAGTAAATGTTATCCACCCCCCGCCCCCGTTCAATATAAGTTGTATTGAAGTTATGATGGTGTCAGGAGATAGTTAAAAACACACACCTATTTCTAATATGTTCTTTTATTTGGTAATTTTTCAAAACTTACACTTGATGTAACTATTTATCAGGAGAAAATTAATATCATATAAATGAGAAAACTGAGGCCTCATGAGAGAAAGGTAAATCCATAAAGGGTAGAATGTCTCTACAACCCATACTCGTAATTCATTACATTGCTCAGGGGACATTTAAGCATGTGTCTTTATCCTCTGCCAGAGACGGTGCAGGGACTGCCCCAGTTTCTGGGGAAGAGGCATAAATTAAAATACTCAACTGTGTAAGAAGGGAATTATGGGCAGGGATACCCAGAAAGTAAGGGTTTCTAAAGTAAACTAGGTCTTTGACTTGCAGAGAGGGTTGTGTCTGACCCATCATTTTTTTTTTTTTTAAGATTTTATTTATTTATTTGAGAGAGAGAGAATGAGAGATAGAGAGCACGAGAGGGAAGAGGGTCAGAGGGAGAGACAGACTCCCCGCCGAGCAGGGAGCCCGATGTGGGACTCGATCCCGGGACTCCAGGATCATGACCTGAGCCGAAGGCAGTCGCTTAATCAACTGAGCCACCCAGGCGCCCCATGACCCATCATTTTAAAATTGGCTAAAAATGGAAGATGGTAAGAATGAGAGTCACTCCTGGAAGCAGTCTTTGTTTTTCACCTCTACTGGCCACAACATCTTTTGATTTTAAGTAGATGAGTTGAACCAGTGTAGCAGTTCCTGCCTACCTATCTTTCCATTTGAAATTGTTCTCTACCTGGGGATATTTGTTAATCTTTTAATCTCTAAAGTGTACCTGTCTCTTTATGTGAAGCTGAGCTATGGGGCATCCTGTTGTACCGAACAGGTCACTCAGAACACTCTGCGGCTAGCCAGGTAGACTGCTCTAGTACCTCGTGGGGAGGAGAAAGGCAGCATTCTCTTCTGTCTGGATCGGCAGCTGCAGTCTCATTTTTGTTGTTTCTCTGTCCCCTGTCTGGGTCCTGTCTTGCATTATTTTGTAGCACTGGTCCATCTGTCAGCACTTTGGCCATCTAGCTTAGGTGTGGGACTTGTCTGCAAAGAGAAACAGGGCGGTCAGTCCCGTCAGACGTTCGGGGAGAATGTGCAGGACGCTTGTGCCCTAGGAACCATTTCAAAGGAGAGGCATGTATTTCTCAGGGAAGAGAAACAGATGATTGAGCGAACACTGAAGCTGTCTCTACACCAGACTCCTTGAGAAACCCCTAATAATAGACGTTTCAGTAGCTACCATTTATTGAGCACCTACATTTAATAATCCCCCGATGACATGTTTTTAAAAATCTTAAGCACTGTACCCATTACCTGATTTCAGTTTGAGTTCTTAATGACAGCCCTGTAAGGTAGGTATTATTATTTCAAGGAATAGGAAATCAAGGCACAAAACCAGCCAGGAAATAAAGGCAGAGTGAGGGTTTACACCCTGCATACGATTTCTCCCATGAATTGCAATAAAATAAAACGGAAAATTTAAGCAATACTTAATTTCAGGTCTAAAACTATTTTCAGAGCTATATATAAGAGAAATTCTAGCTGAACCACTTGCTAAAACAGTCTTGTGAATTTCTTGACTTGTTTTAATAGGCAGTGCATGGTGGACTCATAGAACTAAGCAGTATCAATGTAGATTTTTACTTTTTAATGTCTCTAAACTTTAATACTTTTAAAAGCATTTGTTGCCTTTGTAAAATTAGAAATTGCTTCCACTTTACAGACCTTTACAATGCACTTGAAGATAACTAAAACCTTGAATGTCAGTTTCTGAAATGTTAAGGGCCTATCACTATGTTCTTAGCATCCCCCACTGATGTCAGTTTGTTAGTTTAGGAATATAAAAATAACTTCGAGTTCCAGTTTGCCTATTAAATTACAATGCTCAGTATATCAGATAGAGAATTACAGTTTGTTCAGACAATTACATGCTTACAAATTGATTTTTATTTAAAAATAAAACAGACCTGCAGATTGTTTAATTGTAAAGGATTCTTAATTTCTGCTAGTTGAATAACACATAAAAGTTTTCAGTAGAAAGAACCCTTAGCGTTGTTTAAAAACTAAAGTCTCACCTTTTCTTGGATTTGGAATACTTTTGTGTAGATTACTAAAATTTTTAAATATTTCTGGAAAAATAACTGTTTCATGACATTTTATGGGGAGTAATAACTGTAAAATTACTTAAGATTGTGTTTGATATGCTTCTTCTTTGCCTTTCTCCTGCTAGAGCGATCTGTTTGAGTTAAGCAGATAAATCTGATGATGTACTTTTGTCAGATAGCCCTTATGTGTTCACAGAAAATCAATAGTTTAGGTTTGTCAATTTATTTATTCCTTAAGTGCCTGTCATATGTAAAATATTGTATGTGGTGTTATTACAAGATGCTAGTGCAAATAAATGAGATTCCCCTCAGTCTTTGAAGAGTTAGCAGTCCATTGAGAAAACAGATATACAGATAAGAGATTCAGGGTAGATTATGGTAATTCAAGAGGAGGTATAGAAAAATACCATAGTGATGTTTCTTTGAGGAAATTTGAGTATTTTTTTCTTGAGATATAATTGACATATAACATTATATTAGTTTTAGGCAGACAACATGATGATTGCATATTTGTATATACTATAAAATGATGACCACTAAGCCTAGTTTCCCCTGTTGCCATATAAAGTTACATAATACGCAGTACAGTATTTTTGAATATGGTCATCATGCTTTAATTGCATCCCCATGACTTACTATTTTATGACCGGAAATTTGTACCTCTTGACCCCCTTTTCCCTTTTTGCCCACCCCCCCAGTCACCCTTCCCTTCTGGCAACCACCAGTCTGTTCTCTGCATTTATGAGTTTTGTTTTGTTTGTTTTGCTTTTTAGATTCCACATATAGTGAGATCATATGGTATTTGTCATTCTCTGACTTATTTTACTCAGCGTACCTTCAAGATCCATCCATGTTATCATAAATGGCAAGACTTCATTTTCTGTTATGGCCGAGTAGCATTCTATCGTGTACACACACCACATCTTCTTCATCCGTTCATCCATGGATGGACGCTTTGGTTGTCTCATCTCTTAGCTATTGTGAATGATGCTGCAGTGGACCTGCACATGCATATATCTTTTCTAATTAGTGTTTTTGTTTTGTTTTGTTTTTTGGATAAATACCCAGGTGGGGAATTGCTGGTAGTTCTGTTTTTAGTTTTTTGAGGATCCTCCACACTGTTTTCCGTTGTGGCTGTACCAGTTTGTGTTCCCGCCAACAACGTACTAAGGTTCCCTTTTCTGCACATCCTCACCAATACCTGTTACTTCTTGTCTTTTTGATAATAGCCATTCTGACAGATGTGAGGTGATATCTCATTGTGGTTTTCATTTGCATTTCCCTGATGGTTAATGCAGTTGAGTATCTTTTCATGTGCCTGTTAGCCATCTGTGCGTCTTCTTTGGGAAAATTGCCCATTTTTTATCAGATTGGTTTTGTTCATTACTGAATTGTGTGAGTTCTTTATATATTTTGTCATAAATTGACCATATGTGCACGGGTTTATTTCTGGACTCTGCTGTTCCATTGATCTGTATGTCTGTTTTTATACCAATACCATACTGTTTAGATTATTATAGCTTTGTAATATAGTTTGAAGTCAGGCATTATGATGACTCCAGCTATATCCTTCTTTAAAAAAAAAAAAAGATTGATTGGTTTATTTTAGAGGAAGAGAGCGAGTAAGTGGGGAGTTGGGGTCCCGGGGGAGCAAGAGATAGAAAAACCCAAAGCCGACTTCCCACTGAGCACAGAGCCTGATGCAGGGCTCAATCCCAGGACCTGAGATCGCAACCAGAACCGAAACCAAGAGTCAGCCTGGGTGGCTTAGTCTGTTAAGTGTCTGACTTTGGCTCAGGTCATGATCTCTGGGTCCTGGGATGGAGCCCTGCAGTCACAGAGCCCTGTATAGCCCTGCGATGGGCTCTCCGCTCAGTGGGGGGGGGGGGGTTCTATTGTCTCCCTCTCCCTCTTCCTAAGCCCTCCCCCACTCATGCACAGGCATGCACTCTCTCTCAAATAAATAAAATCTTTAAAAAAAAAAGGAAGAAGATGTACCCCTTTTTCTACAACTGGGGAGAAGGTAGGGTTGAAGAATGACAAAATTGAGGTGGAAATAAAAAGGAAAATGAGGAATAATTCATATTAGATTGCATTTTTTTCATTTATCATTAAAGTAGTTGTGGTCATTTAGGAGGAAAACAAGGATAATAATAATAACAGCAGTTAAAATGTGTCGAAATGTTACTAGGTATGCATGTCTAGTAGCTTTATTAGGTATGCTTTATATCATAATTGTTAAAATACTCCCATAAGGTAAGTAGTGTTATACCTGTTTTACAGATAAGGGAACTAATTATTCAGAACTGGATAGTAATTTGTGATTGTAAAGA